ACCCAACTTTGGGTCTTGAAACCCAACTTTCAGGTCCTCCCTCCCAACTTTGGTGGCCCCATACCCAACTTTGGGTCCTGAAACCCAACTTTCAGGTCTTCCCACCCACCTTTGATGGTCCCATACTCAACTTTGGGTCTTGAAACCCAACTTTCAGGTCCTCCCTCCCAACTTTCATGGCCCCGTACCCAACTTTGGGTCCTGAAACCCAACTCTGAACTCTTCCCACCCAACTGTGGTGGCCCCATACCCAATTTTAGGTCTCGAAACCCAACTCTGAGCTCTTCCCACCCAACTTTGGTGGCCCCATACCCAACTTCAGTGTTCCCACCCCCCTTCGCTGGCTCTGTACCCAATTTTGGGGTAATTATGGGGAAAATTCAGACCCCCCCCACCCCTATTTCCACCCCCAGGTTGGAATTTGAGAACCAGAAGACCCGGCTGGGCATCCAGCTGGACTTCGAGCGCAACCAGCTGCGGGAGGACCAGGAGAAGGTGCTGATGTGGGAGCAGGGCGTGCGCAAGGACGAGGCCGAGATCGAGAAGCTGAAGAAGGTGAGGAGTTTGGGGTCCCCTCCCCTCTCAATTTTGGGGTTCCCAACCAATTTTGGGGTTCCCATCCAACTTTGGTGGCCCTATAACTGACTTCAGGGTTCCCACCCAACTTTGGGGTCTTCAAACCCAAATTTCAGGTCTTCCCATCCAACTTCGAGGTCTTCCCACTCAACTTCGGTGGCCCCATAGCCAACTTTGGTGGCTCCATACCCAATTTTGGGGTCCCCCCCCCCACCCGACTTCGGGATTCCCACCCAACTTTGGTGGCCCCATACCCAATTTTGGGTCTTCAAACCCAACTTTGAGCTCTTCCCACCCAACTTTGGTGGTCCTGTACCCAATTTTAGGGTATCCACCCAACTTCGGTGGCCCTATAACCAATTTTGGGGTTCCCACCCAACTTTCATGGCCCTAGACACAACATTGGTGGCCCTATACTCAACTTTGGTGGCCCCATACCCAATTTTGGTGGCCCTATACCCAACTTTGGTGGCCCTGTACCCAACTTTGGTGGCCCTATACCCAATTTTGGGGTCTTCCCACCCAACTTTGGTGGCCCTGTACCCAATTTTGGGGTCTTTCCACCCAACTTTGGTGGCCCTGTACCCAATTTTGGGGTCTTCCCACCCAGCTTTGGTGGCCCCATAGCCAATTCTGGGGTCTTTCCACCCAACTTTTTTGGCCCCATACTCAATTTTGGGGTCTTCCCACCCAACTTTGGTGGCCCCACACCCAATTTTGGGGTCTTGAAACCCAACTTTGGTCACCCCATACTCAATTTGGGGTCTTCCCACCCAACTTCAGTGGCCCTGTACCCAATTTTGGGGTCTTCCCACCCAACTTTGAGGTTCTCCAACCCAACTTTGGGGTCTTCCCACCCAACTTCGATGACCCCACACCCAACTTTGTGTCCCCCCCACCCAACTTTGACCTCATCCCTTCTCCTCGCCGCTTCCTCCCCCACACCTTATGACCCCCCCCCCACCAAAATTGGGGACCCCCACCCCCCCCAGGAGGAGCAGAGGCACATGAAGATCATCGACGAGACGATGGCGCAGCTGCAGGACCTGAAGAACCAACATTTGGCCAAGAAGTCGGAGGTCAACGACAAGAACCACGAGATGGACGAGATCCGCAAGAAGCTGGGCGGGGCCAACAAGTGGGCGGGGCTTAATT